GACTACCTGCTGACATGACCAGACCTTGGTGTCCTAGAAATTTTCATCCCAGGCACAGCAAGTCCCAAAGGTAAATTGTTTGACATGCTTATCAAGTTTTGTGTTTATTCTTAGCAGTATTCACCAATTCACTGATTTGCATAGGCTAACGTGTCTATTGGATTAATTCTCAATAGTTGTATAGCATGCTATCAAAGTAGTATGAACAGATAATCAGACCATTGATATGGTTTATATTGAAGATTCTTTAAGCTTTAGGAGATACCGAGGGCACGTCAGAGTCTGATGACCCAGCAATGTTGATTAGAAGTCCTCCTGAAAAAATCAAGTTGAGGAACGTCGTCTTGCCCAAGTAAGAATCACCAGTCTTGCCTCTGAATTACATCTATATAGAATGACTTAAATATTAAAGATATTTGGAGCTATATACACTTGTCAATTGCTACTCTGCTCTGTCTGCTCTGCAATATTACATCATTCCTTCCTCCAGATGTTCGAAGATATCCTAAAGAGCAGTGAAAAGGTCGAAAAGGTCATAAAAAAATACGCACACACTAAAAGTCTGTCAGATGGCCGAAGACGTGACATGGTGAAAATCTTGGTAGCACATTTGACAAATGAACATGGGTAGGTTGTTCATACAGTACTTTGTAAATTGATGTTTATGATGTTATGGGTTGTAATTGGTTTATGTTTGTGCGTGTAGAACAAGCACTTCCCGAAGTTTAAAAGAAGAATGTGCAAAGGGAATCATCGCCCTATCTTGGTTCTTGGTTGACCCCAGGAGCAAGTTTGGTTATGTAAGTAGCTGTCGCCTCTCAATCTCTTTTTTCAAACATTAAACATTTATACCCTGATCTTTTCGCAAGGGCCTAGTACAGGAGTTGCAGATTTACAGTAAGAAATTGTTTTCATTTGGGACTCTGAATAACAGAATCATGTGGTTGATAAAGTTTAACTGTATGACTTCATTTCAATACTTGTAGAGGTTTCAGCTCAATTCATCCACACATCTGTAGTCATCAAGACTTGGTCATGAATGTGCTGTTAATACTGAATCTGTGTGCAGCATAAACTAATGTACTGGAGTGGTTAATGTATTTGTATTGTATTCATCTTCCAATGAAGTTACGTCAGGTTAAAATGAGCAGGAGGGTGTGTTCAACTCCTTCTACCTAAAAACTAAAAACCTAAAAGTCTAAAAAATGTTTTGTTTATTTTGTTTTCCCTGTCTCCAGGTTGGGACAGCGACATGTCTTCCATTCAGGTGCTGCTTCACCTTTTGCCACCCTCCCAGGTTGGGACAGCGACATGTCTTCCATTCTGGTGCTGCTTCATCTTTTGCCACCCTCAAGTCAATGCTGCAAAAGACCGGGAAAGATCTCAGCTAGACAAGCATGTGATCGTCTTGTGAAATTCATCAAGGTGAAGCTACTGATGAAGCAGATCGAATGACACTTGTTCATAATGTTGTATTAATGTGTGACATTGAACTTGCATAATTCTCAGAAAGGCTCTTAAAGGGTTAGTTCACCCAAAAATGAAAATTCTGTCATTAATTACTCACCCTCATATCATTTCAAACCCATAAAAAAAACGTAATTTTCATCTTCGGAGCACAAATTA